GCTTCGTTGTACATCCTAACTCTCCTGGCAAGCTTAATTTCCACAAAACCGACGAGAATTTCAACAGCAGATATTCATTTTGTGGGGATCCCAGTTCGAAAGCATAATTGCACTTGTGAAAAAGCGTTGTGTTGAGAGGGGGAGGGGGGGAAGAGGATCGATTTGATTTTTGATTTGCTGTGATTCAATTTTTTTAGTCCAAATTCTGCATAATTTCGTTCATTTTTAGGGGACCACTCCGAGTTTAGTTCTTTTATTTTATTTAGTTTGGGCAGACAATGGCGATGAATGCAGCCGTCAGTATGCCGGCACTGGCGCTTTAAAGGTTTTTCGTTTTAAAGTGTATTTTCACTGCGTCCAAAATAACGATTTTTTTTAAGCTTTTCCCAAAAAATACGTTTTTTTTAAGGCAGATTATACGCGTTTTGGAAGGCGTACTTACCTGGGAGCATGGAACGATTGCTTGAATGCTGTTACGCGTTATTTTCGAAATAATTTTGCAGATGGTTACAGACAGGTTTGCTTCATCTCTCCCTCTCTCTCTCTCCCTCTCTGTATCCCTGAAATAATAACTATTCTTAGAGCACACAGGGGCAAATTCAGTGGAATAGATGAGGTATGTGAATTCCAGGATGCAATCGACTTATTTCTTGGCAATTTCAAAATCGATCCTAACAATTTGCCAACTACACTGGAAACAACCGTGCTAAATTTTGACTATCACGGTGGCGCCATTGTTGGGACAATTTTTGCAGCCGCTATGACCATCCTTTGTGTTCTGGTTGCTGGTATGTCATTAAAAAATTTTTGGAAATTTCAATATTCTCTGTGTGTATGTATGTATGTATGTATGTGTGTGTGTGTTACAACCGGAGAAAATTGAGCTGTTTTTGGTATTTCGGTTTCTGTATGAAACAGAAAACACTTGGAAGTGAAATGAATGGCTTTTGCGACCAGCAGCGCCATCGGCTGACCAAAATTTCAATATAATCTTTGGTGAGCTTTGAACTTTTCAAATTTTTGTACCATTTTCGTCAATTTTGATTTCAGAAAATACATCAGCAACGGTATTTTGGCTGATAATTTTCATGGCTTTAATGCTCTTCATATTTTTCAATGGCGAAGAATTTGTTAATAAACCACGGTTGAAAGTTGACTGAAAAAATCGTGTGTGTGTCAGTGTTGTTTGTTGTTTCTTCGATAGTATATTGCTGCTGCTGTTGTTGTTTGTGACATTTGTTAGGAATAAATATATATGCTACTGTTGATTCGGTTCAATCGCTGCTTGAACCGGATTTATTTAAATGGAACTAATAGAGCATGATCAAATTTTTTGAGTAATTTATGAATAAAACTGGTAAGAAAAAATCGGTGCCATTTATCGTTTTTTTTTTTTTTAACTTTTCCAGAATGGCCAAATTCCGCCGTTTTACATTACTTCTCCTCCCCTACACATCTTCTAAATTATTTGTTGCGTTAATATTCGCAGCGTTTAGTTAGTCAGTTTGTGAATGTTTTCTTCATTATACAAATTTTTTTTTTTCAATATTTTTTCATGATACATTCTTTTATCATGTGAATCCATAGTGGTATTACTTCAGACGCTTGATAAAATCAATTTTTTTCTCTCAGAATATTCAGAAATGCAATGATTTTTTTTTTTCTTCTATGACTTACGCATTAACAAGTCTTGGTTTTTTTTAAGGGTTCGATGTTGGCGGGAGGGTGCTGTAAATTCCGTGCTAGGTTTTGCTGGACACAATGTTAGGTGCAGTGAAAAACTGGGCAGATTATCGCTTTTAGTGACTGTTCTCGCTTATTTTGATCGTTTCATTATTGATTGTGGAACAGATCACACAAATAATGTGTATTAAAAAATATCAATTTTGTTGCTGTCATCAGGTGAAATATACTGCACCGTTCTGTTGCTACTAACCGAGGCTGTACGAGGCGGACATGGACAGTAGGAGGCATCATTTCCGGGA